TACACATGTTTCCTTCTTGTTAGAGAGAGGGTTACCCAATTCATTTAAACTATTTCAGAATATTTCATAGTTTAATAATCCCCCTATTGATGGATATTTAGATTATGTCCAGTTTTCTTGTTACATGTATTTGATGCAACATACATTCTTGTACATGCATCTTTGGGACCATGGGCTGGTATTTATGTAGAATAGATATTTAGAAATGGAATTGTTGGCATGAAACTATATTGATACAGCATTTAATTTTCCTTAAAGAAATTATGCCAATTTATACACCACTAAGTGGGCAACTACAGTATTTATTGTCTTCTATCCTTCCATCACTAGATAGTCTCCATTTTTTGGCTGATCTAATGGGTGAATAAAGACGGTCCCACCTAAGTTTTAATTTTTCTGATTACTTGTGAATTCAGATACTTTTATTTATTTATTGAACATCTGTTTCTTAAAAATAATTTTTTATTGATCCCAGAAAGGAAGAGGGAGAGAGAGAGAGATAGAAACATCCATGATGAGAGAGAATCCATTGATTGGCTGCCTTCTGCACACTCCACACCGGGGATTGAGCCCACAATCTGGGCATATACCTCTACTTGGGAATCAACCGTGACCTCTTGCTTCATAGGTTGACATTCAAACATTGTGCCATGCTGGCCAGGCAGGTTTGGAGATTTCTAAGTCAGCTTGAGATTTATACCTTGGAAAGAAGAGGTTCCTAACTTAGAGTCAGTGGACCCCCCACTGCACCATTTCTTACCATTTTTCCTCCCAAATATCTCTTGGTTATCTGCAGAAGCCTATATTCTTGAGGACTATATTTTTAAAAGATGTATAAGTTAAAATATATATGAAAATAAAGGAAAACTATTATTAAAATGCGTATTTAAAAACATTTTTTATTTTCCTATGATTATTTATTTTTTAATCCTCCCCTGAGGATATTTTCCCTTTGATTTCTGGAGAGAGTGTAAGAGAGAGGTAAAGACAGAGAGAAATATCAATGTGAGAGAGACACATTGATTGGTTGCTTCCTGCACGAGCCCCTAACAGGCCTGGCCTGGGGAAGAGCCTGCAACCCAAGGTATGTGCCCTTGACCAGAACTGAACCCGGGACCTTTGGTCAATATACAGACATTCTATCCACTGAGCCAAACCAGCTAGGACTAAAATATTTTTAAAAAGTAGATTATTGAAAGGCCAGCCACCATGGCTCTGTGGTTGAGTGTCAGCCTATGAACATCGAAGTCACGGTGGGATTCCCATTGAGGACACATGCCCAGTTGCAGACTCAACCCCCAGTGGGCTGTGCAGGAGGAAGCTGATCAATCATTCTCTCTCATCATTGATGTTCTCTCTCTCTTTCTACCTCTTCCTTCCTCTGTAAAATTAATAAAAGTATATTTTTAAATTAAAGCAATAAAAATATTATTGATACTACTTCTCTTTTTTACGTTTTTCTTTAATCCTTGTCCTAAGATATTTTTTCCATTAATATTTTTCAGAGAGAGTGGAAAGAGGGAAAGAGAGAGAGAGAGAGAGAGAGAGAGAGAGAGAGAGAGAGAGAAAGACATGAGAAAGAGATATCGATTGACTGCCTCCTGCTGGTTTGGGGCTAGGGATTGAACCTGCCACCAAGGTATGAGCCCTTGACTGGGAATCGAACCCATGACCTTTTGGTTTGTTGGCCAATACTCTAACCACTAAGCAAAACCAGCCATGTCAAATCTGCTCCTCTCATAAGTAACACAAGCTATAGTGGTTGATCTGATAACTATTATAACTTCAATGTAGTGATGAGAATAAATGTTATTTTGAGATATCTGCAACAAATATATTATATGAAAACATCTGTGAATTTATTGGAGACCCAATGAAGTACTATACTGTTAATCTAGTATCGTTTGTTGCCTACATTCACAATGTAGGGCAATGCTAATTTTTGGTAGATGTTTGTGAAAATAGAGATGTAATTTTACTTCCCATTCAGGTTTGGCCCCCTGAATTCAATCCATACAATGCTATTCACCGACTCTGGCCTGAAGTGGTAATCAGCAAATGAAAATTATATGCACACTTTGGCATATATTCAAGAAAGTGTAGTTTTCTAGGGAAAGGGTCCATAGTTTTATGAAATTCTCACAGGGCTCTTGTCTCCAAAGATTAATAGTCACAAATGTAGAGGAGAAGAAAGACAGTTCCTTGCCTATAAAGCTGTGCTTATTCTCATGAGTAATAGTAAATGGATGATTTGTTTTAAATAAAAGTAGTAGACTAAAAACCATGTTTTTCATATTCTGAAATCATGGAAAAAGTATTTATGGAACGTCTGCTATGTGCCAGGAACTGTTTTATGTGCCAGAATTACATGCTCAAGAACAAAGTAGACAAATTACTCCATTTTTCAAGGGGTTTACAAGTATATAATATGAAAATGAATACATATATATATAAAAGCCTAATATGCATATTGTCCCCATGGGAATTCAACTGGGAGGCCCATGGCTTGCTAAGATGTGTGCTGACCTTCAGGGAGTGGTGCGAAACAAATGAAGGAAGGCCCTGGCCAGCAGCCAGCAACCAGGGAAGGGAGGCCCTGGCCAGGCAGCCAGAAGGTCCCAATTAGCCCTGATCACCAGCCAGGTATATGGACCCTACACTATGCCTGAATTTTGTGCACTAGGCCTATATTGTGTATATATATATACACACATATATACGTATTAACTAGGTACATATCATTTCAAATATTGGTAAGTTCTTTGGAAAGAAAGAAAGCTGACTAAAGAAAATGAATGTATTTTAGAATGCTATATTGTTTGCAAAAGAGGACGGGAGAAGAAAGGTTTGAAAAAAAAACAGATTATTTTCCTTTAATTAAATAAAAATTAGGGTATTTCGTGGGCACCATTACCCGGGTTTCCCCATATATATTTCTGTGCAGGAAATACTTGTAGTTATTTTGCATTTTGATCCAGAAATAACCTTTTCATTTTTCAGAAATCTCAGTACAAATAGTTTGAGAGAATTACGTAAAGATTCATTTGAAGGCCTGGCTTCCCTCCAGTATTTGTAAGTTAATTGTATTTACTTATGAGATTTTAGTTATATTATCTATAAAATAAGGGTTTTAAATGAAAAAAATTTCTACAATTTCTTCCAGCAATAAAATTCTACAATTCCATAAGTCTGTGTAGCTCATCTCTAGCATTTAATATCTCCTATGCATTTTCAGTTTCAGCTTTGTCCTCTAGACAAAATATTGATAGGAAATACTCTTCAGTTATGGAATAAAAGTGGTGATGAGGTCTGAGTAATGATACACACCCATATGAGCCTTGTTATGTAAGTGTTCATATACCATCTGCTTATATTTATGTTTAGTTTAGGGCCCATGAATCAAATTGGGCCCATGATTGCTCGTTTCTTTTTTTTTAATTTAAATTCTTTATTTTATAAAGTATTACATAAGTATCCTTTCCCCCACATTTACCTCTCCCTGGCCACCTCCTTCCGCCCCCAGATTGTTTGTTTCTTACAGCACATAAGTTAAGAAGGATTTTCACACTTTTAAAGGGCTTTGAAGGAAAGGAAACAAAGAAGAATATGCAAGGCAGATTATTTGAGGCCTGCAAAGCCTAAAATATTTACTGTCTGACCTTTACATAAAAGGTTTTAAAATGTTGATTTAGTCAAATGAGAGGAATTTAGCTTAACCTCAAATTGCCTCCTATAGGACAAGAAACTATAAAGCATTTACATTATTTGAATGCTATTAACCCAAAATTTTTTGATAATTAAATCTAAATTAGATTAACATTTACACATTAAATGTTTAAGCAGATGAATTATGTAAACAATATTATTAAGAACATATTAAATTACGAAGAGAGCAGACTGGTGTTGAGGATTTCAATGCAGGAATTGTTATACCAATACTAAAAGTAAATGTTTAAAATGATGGTTAAGTGGCATTGTTAGAAATGTCTGCACTAAGTAAGTATATCAGAAATGCCCCTGACTTCACTAATTACAAAATGAAAATATCTTCAGCCTCCTTATCATGGAAGAAATGCTAGCCTATTATTCTATTTACTTAGAAATAGGGAGATGTTCTTTACTATAAAAACTCAACTATGATTCTTTGTCCATGGCACCCAGAGCTGTGTCTGCCATTAATCCTTATTAGGCTAATTAATGATGCTATTTAGCAACTGGATTCTTTCTGCAAATATGGAAGGCTTCAGGCAAGTAGGTATAAAGAGCCTCACATGACACTAAAAATAGTCATTTGTGTTATTAAACCTTTCAAACTTCAGAGGGACATCCACTTTTATATTGGTCTTCTTGCTATCTCGCTTTCAAACCTTCCATACAGGTTGGAGGAAATAAAATGAAGTAAATAACTGCTCAATAGGTTATGTCATTCATTACTTCTACTGTGAAATACTTTGTAAGCTACCTCTTTCATGCTAGCATAAAATATTCCCATCCATTAAAAAATGCCTATCAATAAGCAATCTAAAACAGAACATGCCAAGCACTGTACCTAGAACTATAGGCACAAGATAGGTATGTCAGGGTTCCTACCCTTCTGATAATTCATCCTCTCATAGGGAAAATAAACATAGCAACTCAAACCATAGAGCACAAGTACTAAATGGAAGACTATGTGCTGCAGTGGCACACAAGAGGGAGCCATGAAATAATAAAACTACATTTCTTTTAAAAATCATTTTTCTCTCTACTTTCCAGCTATTCGTTTATTTGATAAATATTTCAGTTTGCACCTGTTCGCATGTCAGTAGACAATGCTGATGAGCAAGACCCAGTCCATACTTTAAGGAGTTTATACTTAGAGGAGATAGGATGCAAAAAGTAACTCTATTAAAATTTTGTAAGAAATGAATATATAAATTGGTTTTGGTCACAGCAAAGGGCAAAAAGACTTTATGTTGGATCAGCAAAGATGTCAGTAGAGCAATGCTGTTTAAACATGACCTTGAAGGGCTATTGGGAATCAATGGACAGACATCTTGAGTAGAATAAGCTTGCAAAAGGAGCCTGGAACAATATACCTTGAGTAGCGTTAGAGTACACGTAGGCGGCGGCAGAGATTCGAGCCAGATCTTCTGGAGTTTTGATGCCAAGTACCAAGTTATCACAGCATTGCTCAAGGAGAAGCTTTAGCCTACAACAGAGTCACTTGGAGGGCTTGTTAAAACTCAAGCTGTACCCTCAGTTACTAATTCAGTCGATCCAGAGTCAGACTGAGAATTTCAATCTTTAATAAGTTCCCAAGTGATGCTGACTAGTATTTGAGAATCACTTCTGGAGTGTTAATCTGGTGACTGTGTGCAGGATGGTTTAGCAAAGGGGAGATTATAGATGGAAACACCAGTCAGAAGACAGTTAGAAAAGTGAGGAGAAAAGTGAGAAAAGTGAGGGACTAAAGTGGAATCAATGGAAATAAGACAGTCAATTATAGACAAGGGGTGGTGTTTTCAAATAAAAATCCAGCACCATGTTGTGTTCTGTTGTCTGACCACTGTACAACTGATGCCATTAAATACATGGATATTAAAACAATGTATAATAAGAAATGAATTGCTATTAGTATAATAGAAAGTATCATTAGTTCAACGTTCTGTATTAGTTCAAAGTTCTGTATTATTTAGAGCAGTCACTTCCTTTTTAGTTATGTGAAAAGGCATCTTTTATTTCTTCTGGTATTGAATTTGTCTAAAACACAGAAGTAAACCAGGGAGGTGTGTAGATGTGAGACTATTTTTTTTTAATGTTAGACATTTATAAATGTACACGAAGATATAAACTTTAGCTCATAATCTAAATTTGATGAGACCACAAAGGGTCTTCTAATCAATTCTTCTGCTCTCAGGGATAAATACCTTCAAAATGTATCCAGATCTATAGTTGTATGTTGTATTTGTGAAGATCCTGATGGTGAGACTTTTGAGTGAGGGCAGTATAATGGGTTCTGGATGGTTCAAATCACAATTCTTAAGGTTTTCAGTTTAGACTAAACCTGTGTAGTCTAATATTATTGTAACCTCTACCAGTTATTCCTACTAATTAGATACTAATCAGTAATTAAACACTATTTTTCTTTTACTTTTTCTAGGGACTTGTCCTGCAATAAGATAGAATTTATTGAAAAGAATGCATTTGATTCATTACCTCTTTTACAATATATGTAAGTTATAAATATAACCTCATTGTGTTTAGGAATTTCATAAAACATAATTGTAAACCTTTTTGTTATTTATTTTGAAGTAAGATTAAAATTTTATTACTAGAAAACTACTAAATTTATGTAGAAAATCCCATTTGTCTCTAGCATAGATTAATGTGAGAATTCTGTCACATTCCGAATGAACCATTCTATCTGCACAGCAAAAGAAACCATCAACAAAACAACAAGAAAGTCCATTGCATGGGAGAACATATTTGCCAATGATTTTTCCAATAAGGGTATAATCTCCAAAATTTACAGAGAACTCATACAGCTTAACAAAAGGAAGATAAATAATCCAACAAAAATGGGCAACAGGTCTAAAGAGACACTTTTTGAAAGAGGACATACAGAACGTCCAGAGACATATGAAAACATGTTCAAAGTCACTAATCATCAGAGAGATGCAACTCAAAACAATAATGAGATAACATTTCAGACCAATCAGAATGGCTATCATCAACAAATCAACAAATGATAAGTACTGGTGAGACTGTGGAGAAAAAGGAACCCTCCTCCACTGCTGGTGGGAATGCAGACTGGTGTAGCCACTGTGGAAGACAGTATGGACTTTCCTCAAAAAGTTAAAAACAGTATGAACCATACTATAGCAGTGGTTCTCAACCAGGGTGATTTTGCACCAGGTGACACTTGGCAATAGCCAAAGAGAGTTGTAGTTGTCAGAACTGTAGATTTGCTACTGGCATCTAGTGGCAGAGGCCAGAATTATTGTTCAAGGCAAAGGACAGTTCCCCATAATAAAGAATTATCTAGCCCCAAATGTCAGTAGTGTTGAGGTTGTGTAGCCTTATTTGAGAGAAATATAGATCAGTTTAATAGATGCATTTTTTTGTATCTAATGCACCACATGAAAGCATAAACCATAAGCAAATATCTCCCATAGTAAGAATTTTAGTGTATAGAGGGAGTATTGAGGTTGTTTTATCATATATAAATTAGAATCTCTGCTAAAGGATAAGTGATCTGAAAGAATTTTTGTCTCTTCTTTTGCTCTTGTCTTTTTTTAATAGAAATCTTGGTTGCAATTTAATCACCAAAGTGAACTTTGGAACATTTCAGACCTGGCATGGAATGCAGCTGTTACACAAGTTGTAAGTGAAATAGAAGATGAACACATGTAAAAAGCTATGTGTAAAAACTTCATATAGTGATTGGTTGGCTGGGATTAAGCTCAGTTTGAACTCGAGAAGAATGGCTTAAGAGCCATTCTTTTTTTTTCTTTTTTAAATGAGGAAACTAAGGTACAAAGTGTCCAAGAGACTTGTCTAACTGACATATGCCATGCTCTGCTTTCCCAGAACTGACCCTTGGCATGGGCTTCTTTGTTTTCAAGAATTGAGGGGGGAGGGTGGTAATACTGAATTGAGAGGAAGATTTATTTCAGCACTGGGAATAAAAGTTTGTGTCAATTAAGAAATTTATTTATTTAATTGATATGTAATCAAAATATTATTTATTTTTAAACAAACATCCATTAAATTCCTAGTAAATGTCAGGCACTAATAGTCCAAGAAATTGACAAGTAAATAGGTGATTACATATACTATAAGAAAGCCTGTGATGCAAGAATACACATAGGAGTATGTGATAGGAGCATGTCTTTCACCAGTTCCTCTTACATCCATCCCATTTGTGGCTCTAAAACCAAAGAATTCTGTCTATTTTTCTATTTAACTTGATGGTTTACACTGGATTTTAAAAAATTTCTGGAGATGGCCGAAACCAGTTTGGCTCAGTGGATAGAGTGTCAGCCTGTGGACTGAAAGGTCCCAGGTTCGATTCCGGTCAAGGGCATGTACCTGGGTTGCGGGCACATACCCAGTGGGAGATGTGCAGGAGGCACCTGGTCGATTTTTCTCTCTCATGGATGTTTCTAACTCTCTATCCCTCTCCCTTCCTCTCTGTAACAAATCAATAAAATATATTTTAAAAAAATTTCTGGAGATGAAAGAAAAGCACCTTGAATTATTAGGACATTAGAAATGGTATTTCCTTGCCCTGGCCGGCTTTGCTCAGTGGATAGAGCATTGGCCTGGGGACTGAAGGGTCCCAGTTTAAATACTGGCCAAGGGCACATGCCTGGGTTGCAGGCTTGATCCCCAGTAGGCGGTGTGCAGGAGGCAGCATATCAATGATTCTCTCATCATTGATGTTTCTATCTCTCTCTCTCTCCCTTCCTCTCTGAAATGAATAAAGAAATATTGAAAAAAAGAAAAAAGAAATGGTATTTTCTGTAGAGCAGGAGCTTCCTATCAGCATAGTCACTAATGGGGTTTTCAATCTGAAAGGTTCTTCAGTATATTTTTCTTTGCTATCCACTTCTTTCTTCTTCTTTTTTTTTTTTACTTTCTCTTCTGCACTTTATCAGTCAGAGACTTGGGTAGTTCCCCAATTAAGAATCCTTTGTAGCCCTGGCCTGTGTTATACAGTGGTTGGAGCATTGGCCCGTACAAAAAGGGATTCTGGGTTCAATACCTGGTCAAGGGCACATAGCTGAGTTGTAGGTTCTATTTCTGGCCCTCATTGGGTCATGTGGTGGAGGCAACCAACCCATGTGTCTCTCTCACATCGATGTGTTGTTGTTGTTTTTTGTCTCTCTCTCTCACTCTCTCTAAAAAAAGAAGTGGAAAAAATATCTTCAGGTGAGATTAACAACAACAAAAGAGAATGCTTTACAGATTCTAAGGGTGATCTCTGGGAATAGACCAAAAATGATTTTTTTAACCTTCACGTTTTGAACCAACAAAATGAATATAAACTTTCATAACAGTTATTAAAAATGCAGATAATTTTAATTCTATTGCATTTTCCAGAATTCTACATGAAAATCCTCTGATGACTGTTCAAGATCCATATCTTTTTAATTTGCCAGCATTGAAATATTTGTAAGTATTGCAACAATTTCATGGCTCATGAGATGATTTCTGTTCTTACTTTTGTCAAAGAAGAACAATTTTGCATTTTGAGAAAAAACTCATAATTTAAATTTTAACTGGGTTATTCTCTTTTTTTAAATTAAATCTTTATTGTTCAGATTACATTTGTTCCTCTTTTTTTCCCCCCCATAACTCCGCTCCTCCCAGTTCCCGCCCCACCCTCCGCCCTCACTCCCCACCCACTGTCCTCATCCATAGGTGCACGATTTTTGTCCAGTCTCTTCCCACATCTCCCATTCCCCTTTCCCCCCCAAGAATAGTCAGTCCATTCCCTTTCTATGTCCCTGATTCATTATAATCACCAGTTCATTCTGTACATCAGATTATTTATTCACTTGATTCTTAGATTCACTTGTTCATAGATGCATTTTTGTTGTTCACAATTTGTATCTTTACCTTTTTCTTCTTCCTCTTCTTAAAGGATACCTTTCAGCATTTCATATAATACTGGTTTAGTGGTGATGAACTCCTTTAGCTTTTCCTTATCTGTGAAGCTCTTTATCTGACCTTCAATTCTGAATGATAGCTTTGCTGGATAAAGTACTCTTGGTTGTAGGTTCTTGGTATTCATCACTTTGAATATTTCTTGCCATTCCCTTCTGGCCTGCAAAGTTTCTGTTGAGAAATCAGCTGACAGTCGTATGGGTATTCCCTTGTAGGTAATTGAGTCTCTTTCTCTTGCTGCTTTTAAGATTCTCTCTTTGTCTTTTGCTCTTGGCATTTTAATTATGATGTGTCTTGGTGTGGTCCTCTTTGGATTCCTTTTGTTTGGGGTTCTCTGCGCTTCTTGGACCTGTAAGTCCATTTCTTTCACCAGGTGGGGGAAGTTTTCTGTCATTATTTCTTCAAATAGGTTTTCAATATCTTGCTGTCTCTCATCTTCTGGCACTCCTATAATTCTGATATTAGTGCGCTTGAAGCTGTCCCAGAGGCTCCTTACACTATCTTCGTATTTTCGGATTCTTTTTCATTTTGCTTTTCCGGTTGGGTGTTTTTTGCTTCTTCGAATTTCAAATCTTTGGCTTGATTCTTGCGCTCCTCTGGTCTGCTATTGGGTATAATATTCTTTATTTCAGTCCGTGTATGCTTAATTTCTAGTTTCTTTATCGTAGCATCGACGGTCTCATTAGATTTTGTGAGGCTCTCCACAAGTTTATTGCAAGCCCTCAAAATTGCGTTTTTTAGCTCCATATCCTCCATTTCTGTCATGTTTTTTTGTCTCCGCATTTTTTATGCTTTCTTGGTGCACCCCCTTATGGTCTTTGTGCGCAGTCTTGTTCTAGTTAAGCCTTGATTTTTTTAGTTAATACTGAGGGATTTGACCACCAGGCTGACTGGCTGTGAGAATCAGCTGTGTGGAAAACTTCTGTCCTCTGGGGAGGTGCTAATCTAGCCTTTGCCTGAGGCGATCCGGCAAATGCTCTGCGCAGGGCTTGGGTGGGGCGGGATCAACAGGGCGGGTGGAGGGAGCAGTTATGGCTGCTCTCAGTCCCGTTCCTAGAGGCTCTGCTTCTCAGAACCCCGGCAGCCGCTGCAAACCTCGGAGAGAAAGCTGCCCTCAGATTCCAACTGATGCCGGACAATCCCGCTTCTCCCGTCTGAGTCTGAGTCCCTAGAGACTCGCCCGGATCTGGAGCCCCGAGTCTGAGACTCCCTCCTGACTGAAAACCGACCAACAACGCCCTTCAGCCACCTAGACCCGCTTTT